GCCAGAGGGATTTTTAGCTCTGTTTGCTCCATGAGACCCCATACCAGGTGAAAATGCATGCCTGGCCTCAGTGGTGGGGACCAGTTCTGAGCCTTGGGGCATTGCAGTGTGTTTAGTCTTAATCATTGGTCCCCTTCATTTGCTCAGGGATGTCTTCTTGGGAGTTGTTCAAGTCCACGTTTATTGATAAGACTTAGAACCCTGGGAGTAAATGACCTCTCTCAGGTTGTGCTTTATAGGCTTTGAGGAGTTGGAAGCTCTCTTCTCGAACAAAGAAGATGGATGGCAGAAGAGGTAGGAGACTTTTAACAACCTAAGTGAGCCTAAAAAGGAAGCCACACTCTGAGCCCTTCTCTGTTTATACCACAGCATGGGGCAGAGTTATTATGTATGGGACTATGCATCGATATAAGTTTGAATACTGGCTTTGCTGATTTTTGGCTGTATGACTTTGTCAAGCCACTGAACATCTCTGAGCCAGTTTCCACAACTATAAATGGGAACACAAATTTCACAGGAGATTTTTTTTTTGCGGGGGGCGGGTGCTGGCGATCAAACTCAGGACCTGACACTTGCCAGGCAGGGGCTTATGCTGCTGAGCTAAATCCCCAGCCATAAGTCTGTGGGTTTTTTTTTTTTTTCTTTTTCTTTTTGGAAATCTAGTCCTGCCTGATGGACAGTCATTCCCACAGGCTTATGGCAGCTTGCAGCAAGGACTCATGACTTGCCAGGGAGGAACTGGTGCTGCCTAGCTATATCCCCAGCTCTGTACAGGAGTATTTTGAAGAAAAAAATACGCCAATCTCTGCAAAGTCCCTTACTAGTGCTGGAAACACAGTAGGGAGTAATATCCCTTAAGAATGGGAGGGAAATCCAGGTGTGGTGGTGCACGTCTGTAATTCTAGCACTTGGGAGGCTGAGGCAGGAGGATTATTGGGAGTCTGAGACTATCCTCGGCTACAAAGTGAGCCCAAGGCCAGTCTGAACTGCATAGTAAGGCCCTGTTTAAAAAAAAAAAAAAAAAAAGGAAAGAAAAAAGAGGAGGTAGGGAAAGAGCACTTATTTAGCATATGCGAAGCTCTAGGTTGCTCCCTAGTATACACACACACACGCACACACGCACATGCACACGCACAAAGAATGGGTATGGATAGGTTTGTTCAGGCAGAATGGGAAGAGGGCCAGGGACTGAGCCCCGAGGAATATCAGAATCTATACTGCAGACAGAAGAAGAACGGTTGGGTGATACAATGGTACATTCTATAATCCCAACCACTCAGGAGTCTTGAGACCAGAAGATCACAAATTTCAGAACCAATATAAGAAAGTTAGTGAGACCTGTCTTTAAAAATAAAACTATGGGGGAAAAGGCTAGGAACATTATTACACACTGTTAAAGGATGTGCTTTTAAAAATTTAATGGTGACCATCATAACTTGTCTGGCTGGTTTTTTTTTTTTTTTTTTAAACTGGAGAGTAAACCCAGGGCTTTCACATTGAGCCAGCCCTTATTTTTATTTTATTTTAAGACAAGTCTCACTTAGTTCCCCAGGCTGGACTCAAACTTGTGTTCCTCCTGCTTCAGCTTCTTAAAGTGCTGGGATAACAGGGTGTTTACCTGGATACTATGTCCAGCTGGGTATAAACTTTTTACAATTGAAGGGGCAGATGGAATCTGTCCACATGACCATAGATGGGCAAAGGGAAGGGAAAAGAAATAGAAGTGCACAGGGAAACATGGTGGCATGAGGCTGCACTGGAAGGAGCTAAGAGCTGAATGCATTAGGCAAACGGACCCTTCTCCCTCAGAGCTGGAGACCTAAGCTAGGGCCTGTGCTACCTCTAAGGAATATCTCTAGTTCTTATTTTTTATTTTGAGGCAAGGTCTTAATGAGTTGCCCAGGCTGGGCTTGAACTTGTGATCCTCCTGTTTTAGCCTCCTGAGTGGCTGGGATCCTCACACAAACCTGTCACTACACCCAACTCAGGAGGAAGATGTATTATCATTTGTCATGATGGAAATCTTTTTATTAAAGCCTTTTCATTTGAAAATATCAATTGATTAATCAATCTGAGGGCGGGGGAGTTTGGGACAAGTGGTAGATCTCTTGCCTAGCAGGTACGAAGTTCTAGTTTCAACCATCAGTACTGAGAAAAAGGAGGGAGAGAGATGAGGACTATAAGGTGAACATGTAGCTCTGATGACCTCGGTTGAGCACTGACTACATGGAGAAGTAAGGTAGAGTCCAGGTGCACTGGGCTAAGGACTGAATGGGAGGCTGGAATAGAGATGGGGAAGCATGGTAAGTAGGAAGGAAAAGCTGTGTGTGAGAATACAAGGGTCATTTATGCATGTTGTGTCAGCCATTTTCTGTTACTATAACAGAATGCCACAGACTGAGTAATTTATGAAGAGAAGAAATTTCTTTGCCCCACAGTTCTGGCAGTTGGAAAGTCCAAGTTCCTGCCTCTGATGAGTACGTCTTCTTTGCCCCCATGAATGCCTTTTTACTGTGCCATTCCATGACAAAAGGTGGAAGAACAGACACCAAAACAATAAAAGAGCCCCAGACAGTCCCTCTAGCTCTTTTATAACTGGTATCAACCCATTCATGAAGGTGGAACTTTCATAGCCCAGACACTTTTCCTTAGGACCCATTCTCTAGCACTGTTGAATTGGGGGTTAAACTCCTAACACATGCTTTTTAGGGCATACATTCAAGTCATAGCACATGACAAAATTAATTATTCAGAATGCTCCAGTTCTATGTAACTTTCACTGTTTGAAAATCAATGTCAGTCTGAAATGGTTTGAAAAGCTGAGTTACAAGTCTCCAAGAGCAGGGTGAAACCCAGGAACTTCCCTTATCCTGTGTTAGCCCTCCTCCCTCTCCACACTGGAAACTCATTCTCAAGCAGCATGAGGTGGATGATTAAATACCACCTACCAGCTTTCAAAATATTCACTGGGGAAAGATCAGTCTGGTTTGTTAACTTCAGTTCTACCAGCAAAAGTACCCCTTCAAAGTATGGTGAAACCTTAGATGGGAGCCTTCTAGTCTCTCAATTAAATCATTTTTTTTTTTTTTTTTTGTACTGGGGATTGAACTCATGACTTTGTGCTTGCCAGGCAGGCACTTACACCGCTGAGCTAAATCAAATCTTCAATCAAATCTTTAAAAACATTTTTTTTTAAAGCAGGGTCTTCCTACATTACCCAGGCTCATCTCCAATACCTAGCTGCACACAATCCTCTAGCCACAGCCTCTCTAGTAGTTGTTGGGATTGCAGGCCATGCCCTGTGCCTGGCTCTGAAATCCTATTTCTTGAGTACCGAGGTTCCCATTCAGTATTACAAAACATCAAATGTGGCCCAGAAGGCAGAAGATCTGGGAAGGAGGCCCCAGTTTTTGCACAAACAGTGTTCCTCCTAAGGCTGTTTCTTATTATGCAGGTTAGGGGGTTGGCAGTGCTTAGTCTAAAAGTCTCCTAAGTTCTGACTTTTTAGGATGTGCATTTCTGTCCTACTTTTAACATTTCTAAACTGAGGTCCAAAAAATGCAATCACCAGTTGCTCCTTTCTCTCTTCTAATGTATTTTCCTCTCCACAGTGAGATTCCTGGCCTGAAATATGGTTTTAGTGGTTCCCAATGACTAAGAAGAAAGCCTCAACTCTTCCGCTATGTATTTAAAATACAATCTTCTTATCTAACATCTTTCCCACTGTCAGGTTTCTTTTTTTATTATCAACCAGATTTTTTTAGCCTCACTGCCGGGGCTTTGTCCATACTGTACCCATGTGCTAATAGCTTTTCCACACTCCTTGTGGGTCCAAATTTTTTGCTCTTTTGTATCTAGATCTCAGTTCTCAGAGACGGGGGCTGGTACCTTAGTCTGTAGTAAGTTCTCAATGAAACTCTCAGTGAGCCCCAGTTCCCTTCTGTGTTGTCTTTAGCTCACTGTACTTCAGTTGGGCAATGGTTTTGTTTTGTTTTGTTTTTAAGACTCCATATGTAGTCCAGGCTGGCCTTCAGCTTCAAGCGATCCTCCCGCCTCAGTCTCCTGAGTGCTGGGATTACAACTGTGCCCAATCCAGAACCCTGCTCTGGGCTATGTTTTTTGCCATTGGAATTTTCCTACCTTTCCCAGAAGCTCCAGCCCAGGGACCTTCTGCATCTAATGCCAGGACTCAGATGGGCTTAATGACCAATCACATACTCCCTTTTGTCACATGAGGAAATTCAAACTGAGTTTGAACTCAGATCCAGGTTCCTCCACTTACAGGCTACATAAACTTCAGCAAGTCGTTAACTTTACTTTGGAATTTGCTCAACATTTTGCTTTGCGAAAATGAGGAGCCTGGGCACCTGTGCACTGCCAGTGGGTGGCTGTGAGGATGAGGGTACTTTCTAAAGGCCTAGCATTGGGTGGGCTCCTAGCAGGAGGAAGGCACAGTCGTCCGAGGCCACTTCTCAGGGCGGGAGGGCAGCTGTGCAACTTTGGACTACTGTGTGCAGGGTGGGGGGACTCCCGTAGGGCCACACCCAACCCCACCACTGCAGGCCCACGCGCAGGGTGGGGCCTGCAGAGCCAATGAACTCGGCTGGGCTTAGAGCCCGCGGGGGGAGCGGGGCGTGCCCACTACGCCCTGGGGCCTCTCACGCTCAGTCGATCTGGGGGGCCTTTCTGAAGTTAGATCTCTAAAGTACATTCTGTGGTGCTCTCAGGGCGGGGCCGCACCAGAATGCTGCCACCATCATCACGCTGCTCTCCTTGGGCTTCGCAATCTTCTCTCGGGTTCTCTGTTCTCCCACCTTCACCTCTGCGGCGGTAAAATGCAGCATTCACAGGGCGCCTGCGCGGCTTCCGGGCGGGGCAGTGGCGACCGCAGCTATTTATAGTAGGTGACGTCACCTTGAAATAGACCGTTAGGGCCGGCCCGCCCTTCCCCCCTCCCACTCCCGTCGCTCCCCGCTGCCAAGGCCGGCGGCTTCTACTGCGCAGGCGTCCTCTCGTCCTCCCATCCCCCGCACCCCTTCCACACCGCCGCAGCTTCTCTCCCTCCGCGGCGTCGGCGGCGTGAGCCACTGCGCGCGGGGCGAGTCTGCTAGAGGGCGTGAGCCGTGGTGCTGCCTGCAGCCTGCAGCCTCCGGCCGGCCGGCGAGCCAGTGCGCGTGCGCGGCTTCTGCAGCGACCAGGGAGCGGACGGGCGGGCGAGCGAGCGAGTTGTGTGGGGCGCTAGGCGAGGTCAAGCCGCGAGCGACATGGGGGACCGGGAACAGCTGCTGCAGCGGGCGCGGCTGGCCGAGCAGGCGGAGCGCTACGACGACATGGCCTCCGCCATGAAGGCGGTGAGCGCGCCGGGAGCCTGGGTAGCCTGCCGGGAGCCCGGCGTTGGGAGGGATGGGGCGGTGTCTCTCTCTAGGCTCTGGGGGACCCCCGCTGGGCGCGGCCACTCGCAGCCCGCGCTTCGGAGCGCCGCGCCATTTCCTGAGGCCGGGTGCGGGCGAGGGTCTGAGGGGAGGCAGCCTTTCGGGAGGCGGGCGGGGGTCGCGACATCCTTGTTCGGGGGCTAAGGGTAGGGGATGCCTGAGGAACCGGGAGGGAGCCACGTTCCTGTTTCCAGACTACTCCACGGAACTCGGAGGCTCACCTTCTCGCCGTCCACCATTCACCAGCTTGTAATACAGAAACACCTAGCGAGTGGCGCCCTGTCTCTCCTGCCTCTCTCTGCCCGCTACTGGAAACCTGCATTGTCCCTTTTCCATGTTTCCACGCCCGGGGTCTGGCTTTGTGTGCAAAGACCCCTTTTTTTCAGTCTAGGCGTGGACGAGGGCTGGGGTAGAGGGTGTGGGCCCCATTTTAGCTCCATGTTAGATTATGGGGATTGAAATGAGAGCTGATTTATAGATAAGACGACCCCGCGTGCCTTTGCATTCCAGAGACCCCTCGTAGTTGGATTCTGTGACTTGATTTCCGGTGAAAGAATCATGCTCAGCCACACCCTAGCAAATACCATGTTTTAGGCACCACCTGCATTTTTAAGATTTTTGAGATCCGGTTGCTACCTCATTGTCACTCTCTCTTCACATTATTTTGGGTTTTTGTTATAAATGAAAATTGTTTGTGTGTGTCAAGGTCACGGTAATGTGGCCATCATCTACTATGTTCCTCCGATGTACAACCTCCTGAGACCTTGGAGCATCCCCTTGGACTCCACCTTAGACCTACTAAAGACTGAGAAATTTTGTGTTTTAACTAGCTCATAGGTGATTTTTACTCTCCTTAAGTTTGAGAATTACTTCTCCTACGTCTTTGGCTGGCTTTTTAAAGGGATATGTTAAAAACTACACCCAGGAGCTCTCTAAAATTTAAACTCATTCAAAAAACTTATTTCAAGGCCTGCGATACTACTATCAGATGAAATACATAGGGTCAATATTTAGGATTATCCAGGTAAGAAAGATACTTACCTTATGTTTCCTATGGTGTCCTTGCCTTATACATCTAAATGAAGTGTGTAGGAAACCAGCAACACCAAGGCCCATTTGTTGATTCATTGGTAATCCTGATTTCAGCCTTATGGTATGTGATTGGGGTTAAATAGGAGGTTTTTATCCAAACCAGAGTACAGTCTTAAGCGTGGGAGCCCTCTTGTAAAAAGTGAATTTAAAATGCAATTTTGCAAATTTTACACAAATATAACTGGTTGTAGGAATGCCTATCCTTGGAAGGGGCCCTAAAGCTTAATTTTTTTTGGCAAACACACCTCTGCCTACATAGCAAGTCACACTTACATAAACCCTTTAATTGATGGTTAACCAACAGCTTTAACTATTAGCAGAACTGTATACAACTTGGGGCCTTTCTGGACATTTTGGTGATTGCTTCACTCATCCTGTGAGTGGGACTTGAAGGCTGCAGTGTTAGGAGCCTTTTGGGGAATAAACATGGTGAAAAGAAAGAGATGGGGCTTAAGGAAGGTGTCCACAGATTATCTGTGAGGCATTAAGATAGTATTTTGTGAAATAATGGACCCTTCAGTGTGTTGGAAATTCATTAATAATCCGTAATCTGAAATGATTAATGAGTTGGGAAAGCCATCCAACATTGAAAATTCTAGCCTTTAACTGTCATCAGAACTCTATAAATCATTCCAGGTTAACTCCTATTAAAAAGGAAGAACTTTTTTTATTGTCAGTACACCTGTCTTATGTTAAATATTTTTACTATCTAAATGGAATATGTTTATTAGTAGACAGAATTTATGTTCTCTGTTAAATTGGTGTTTATACATTAAAATTCTTAATATTACTGAGATCACTGTCTCTATTTTATTGTATCATGTAACTTAAAATTAGGACTTTTAGGAATATTGAACCCCTGGGTTTATGTGGACTTTCTTCAGGATGGTGGAAAGTCAGGTGAGTAGACCACTCATGGGAAGGTGGAGTAGAAATTTCTTGACTTCAGGTCCTCAGACTATAAAACAAGGAATGCTGATGTTACTAACAAGTCATTTCTTCCTGTAATCTCCTAACATGTTTCTATTGTTTTTATAATTGGTTACCTAATAATATTGTCTGTCTTTAATATTGATGTTTCTTAATATACCAGCGTCACCTGGAGGACAGTGTTGGTAAGCCTTAAGAAAAATGATGCCTATTACAAACAATGATGCTGCCTCAAATCAGTTGAAAACTACAATTTCGTGCCTCACCCCATGATTTGAAGAGGCAGGAAATAAATTTTTTTTCTTTCTCTCCTCCCTCTTTCTCTCCCCACCTTCCTCCCTCCCTTCTTTTTTTCTTTCTTTCGAGATGAACCCAAGTCTTTGCACTATATCCCCAGCCCGTTTTATATATTTTTATTTTGAGACTGTCTCTTTAGGTTTCTCAGGCTAGGCTTAAACTTGCAGTCCTCATGCCTCAGCCTCGGATGCAGGGATTACCTGCATGTGCCACCATACCCTTCTAAGAAATGTCTCAGAAGAGAAATTTAATGTAGATGTGCCTTCACACTTACACATAGTAGCTTACATGTAGTGTAGTAGTGTGAGGAAACATCGTGAACAATTATAGACCCCAAGTTCTTTCTAGATCAGCACTGAATGACTACACATCTGAAAAATGGGTGTAGTACCATTTTATAAGAACTATGAAGTAATTCATCGGCTGGACGTGGTGGCATATACTAGTAATTCCAGCACTAAGAGGAGGAGGATGGAGTGAGACCTGTCTCATATATATGTATGATTTAAGTAATTTCAAGAAAAAAAGAGAAAGTAACCAGATTCTCAGTGATACTTATGGGTGGACATTTAGTTGTGTCTCTTTCTACTGTAAGTCATTTGTTTTATGTTAAAATAGGCAGTAATTACAAAGTTAAAAATGTAAAATATGGAATAGTATGGTATGTTCTAACACTGCTTTGTAGACTTAAATGTTGAAAGGATAAGGAGAAATGTTTGAAGGACTTGAATATAGAAATCTGAACTGCAGGAAACAAAACTGTAGTTAAGGAATTGAGTCTGTTAGAAAGAGACACTTGGTCCACGAAGTGACAAAAGGTTATTCGAACAGCTGTGAGTTGTGGGAGGTGGGAAGTGAGCAGGTGGTATGTAAAAGGAGAACACTTGAGTGTCCCAGAGTAAGACAGAATCACAAGTTCGTTGTGAATTTTAAGAATGATTTTTGAGGTATAGCAAAATTGTGATTAGTATGAAATCTTAAAACCACATTACTATTGTACTATTATTTGAAATGCATAAAAACTAAGGAGCCCTGTTTTTTACTAACTGGTTTAAAATGTAATTATTGCTGGGCGTGGTGGTGGGTGCCTGTAATCCCAGTACTTGGAAGGCTAAGGCAGGAAGGTTGCTGAGAGTGTGATGCCAGCCTAAACTACATACTACCCTGTCTCGAAAAAGAAAAAGAAAATGTAATTACTTCTTTGATATATATGGGCTAAGGAAGGAAAAAGGCCCTGGATTATTTTTGTAATAGTCCATCCAAATTAAAAGATACTCTGGATTTGGGTTGTAGCTTGCTGGTAGGGTGCTTGCCTATCATGCTTGAGGCCCTAGGGTTCTGCTACCAGTACTATAGAAAAAAAAGTACTTCAAGTGGCAACAGACATACAGGCTTGTTGTCCTGAAATGGGAGCTGTGACCTCATCTAAATCATCCCTAGAAGAGATCCAGTAGCCAAGGTCCCTACTATATACTTCTTAAATAAAAAGTGTATTTTCCTCATCTTTAAGATTTTATATTAGTGGTAGACTGTAGTGTACATACATTGCTACAGAAATAGGTTTTGGGAGGGGCTGGGGATTTAGTTCAGCGGCAAAAGCGCCTGCCTTGCAAGCAGGCAGTTGTGAGTTCGATCCCTGGTACCAATAAAAAGGAAAAAGACAAAAAAAACAAAGAAATAGGTTTTGGGGGGGTACCCCCAGTGTTTTCCATACTATAGCAAGTTTATGGACTGTATAATTTTACTTGTTAGACATTTAGTAAATGTTAGCTGTTATCATGTGCACGTTTCTCATTATATATATTGGTGTTGGGAATTGAATTTAGTGCATGCTATGCACATGATGTATTACTGAGCTACTGAGCTACACCCCTGGCTCATGTTTAACCTTTCTAACAACTCTAGAAAGGTACTGTTAGTAGCTCCATTTTACAAATGAGACATACAGGAATTGGTTATGTCAGGGTCAAACAGTAAGTTGTGAAGTAAGATCTGAACCTTTGAATTCAGAGCTTTCACTTTAATCACTGTGTAAAGTGTTCCATGAGGCTAAGGGATAATGCTTATAGTTTATATTCTGGCATACAGTATTAATCCTCGTCATCATTAGTGATTCAATCACAGAGGTGGCCTGTGAAACATTTTTTTATTCTTTGACTATAAGCCATTTTGTCAAGCTTGATTAGAAAACAACCTAAAGCTAGGTATATTGGCCCACATCTGTAATTCCAGCTACATGAGAGAATAAGCTAGGAGGATCATGGGTTTGAGGCCAGCCTGGTCAAATCAGTGAGATTCTCAAAAGCTTAATGATACAAGAGTAGCTGTTTCATTTCACTAACATTAAGCTTAGGGTGGTTTGAGCTTGGCTGCCCTGAGCCCAAAGTATATTCTGACTTGTTGATAAATAGAATTGTAGCCCTGGTGAGCATAAGGGGCTCAGCCTGGCCTCGACTGGTGGTGTTTTTGCAGGTAGGCCTGTAGTGGGTGGTCTGTGGGCTTGGGGCCAGGTAGGATCCTCACTTCCTAGGCATGCATTTGGAAAAGAATTAGCAAAAAAAAAGAAAAAAAATCCATTCCTAGTACTGGTGACAACATATTGGTACTCTTACTGCTAAGCTATGTCTTCAGCTCTGTTGGGAATTGAACCTAGGGCTTTTGCACTAAGCTACATCTCCAGTTTTTTTTTTTTTTTTTAATACCAGGGATTGAACTCATGACTTTGTGCTTGTCAGACAGGTGCTTAAACTGCTGAGCCAAATCCCTGGCCTTCCATCCTTTTTAAAAAAAAAATTTTTTTTTTTAAAGACTGTCTTGATAAGTTGCTCAGGCTTGTCTCAGATTTGGATGTTCTCTGCCTTAGTGTCCTAAGTAGCTGAGATAATAGATGTGTTCACAAGAATTGTTTTCTTCTATTATAAATTCATATCAAAAGCCAGTTGATAGCATGTGGGTGTGGGTAACTATAAAGGATGGGACAGTAGTGTGTGTAGGTGTGTAGCTATGAAGGGTAGGCGAGCTCTCCAGAGCAAGAAATACTACCCCTAGCTGACAATGTGACCCTCTCTGGTGGCATTTTTCTTTGCTCAGTGTTTTGATGTTGGATATTTACCGGATAAAGAACTTCAGATTTTCCTAAATAGTCACTCTTCTATTTTTGGCAGAGGATCTATTTTTACTCACATAGTTTATTGCCTTGAGTAGTGGGAGGAGGCCCCCAGAGATTTTTGAGTAAGCAAATGGTGTCATAGGAAGATAAATTAATTGGCAACAGGCTAGGTTATTTGTGACCTTTAGTAATGCTATGCAGTCCCAGAGCAGAAAAAATAAGTGAAGCAGGTATCCCAGGGTAAAAATTCGGTACAGCTGAAGGCTGTATGGTAAAGATACTGGCAAAATGATAGTCCTGAAGACCAGAAGTATATTTTAGCTTAGCTAGGAGTGTGGTGGTATACATGCCTGCAGTGCCAGCACTCTGGGAAGTTGAGGCAGGTGGATTATAAATTCAGTCCCAATTTGGACAGTTGACTCAAAACTTAAAAAAAATAAAAGGCTTGGGGTTGTACCTGTGTGTGAAGGTCTTAGGTTTAATTTCCAGTACTGTAAAAAAAAAAAAAAAGTGGGAAGGGGTATCTTTAAAAATGAAAAGGGTCAGTCAGTTTAAGGTTTTCTGTAATGGTGAGGTGTAAGTAGGATTAAATTAGGTGGGAAAATGAGGAAGGCAACAAACCAGAGGCTGGGAGCAGATGGGGGTGAGGAGAGGGACAGCCCTTACAGGTGACTGATAATAGTCATGAAGACCTAGTGCCCAACGTGGCTACTCTGAGAGCAGTTGAAGTTGGTCAGAATGAATGTTTAGCATTGGTTTTGGGAGTGAAAAGAAGGTTGAGTATCATGGTATCTCAAATTATATCTGTTTTGTATTCCTAATTAGAAACTTGGGGCTGGAGATTTAGCTCAGTGGTGCAGCATCTGCCTGGCACGTGTAAATTCTGAGTTCATTTCATGAAACTGTTTGAAAATCTGTGATTGTAGATATATAATAGCTTAAGTTCTGCAGGTGATCATCCAGCTGATTTGATATGTGGCATAGTTGGGACTAGCCAGTGTATCATGATTCTTCTCCTATGTTGACTCCCATGTCTGCTTCTCTTAGAATAAAATAGAACTTTTTGTTCTTTTGGCTCCTGTATTTTAGTTTTAACTAACATTAATGGAGATTATTTAAAGTAAGTATCACCAGTCAAGAAAACCAGTACGTCTCTTTGGTGGCTTTTGATGGCTTTTGATTTTGGCAGGGGGTGGTAGTGGGGTAGACTGGGGATGTAATATTTTTCCAATCTGGGGAAAAATTCAGTCAAGTAATAAAATTTCATGAGTTTCTTTGGTTAACTGAATTATGATCTAGGAATATTAAAAATACTGTATTTAACAGGTGGCCAATATATAAATGAAAAAATATTTTAACATCATTGGCCATTATAGAAATGCAAGTTAAAACAACACTAAAATACTGTCTTAGTCTAGATACCATTTTGAATTTAGTCTTAGCTAGTAGTCTGACCTCAGACAAATCACAGCTTTTCTAGGCATGAGAAGTAAAATAGATGATCAACCCAAATGATTCCCAAGGCTTCCAGACCCAAGACTTTTTTTCCTGAGTACCAATAAAGGGTATGGGAAGGCATGAGGTTGATCCTGTTAAAAAGTGTAATGATGAGTTTCTGGAGTTCATAATAGCATAGTCTTCCTTCATCTGGAATAAATGCCAAAAAAGGCTACTGGGCAATATTTATAATGACACCTACACTAGAAAAATCATTCACAGTTACTAGGAATATTAGTGTTTATGTAACAACATCTGGTTGCCAGCCAGTCTGAATGAATCATTGTCAGCATCAGCTGAGGGTGACTAACAAAACTAAGCAAGCAAATACTGTTCTTAGAATTTAAGCCAGAGCTTAACTAAGAAATAATTTGGTGTATTTAAATACAGTGTTTTTATTATTTGATTTATTGATGATGGCCATTCAGGATAGGCTGATTTATGCTGACATTTTTTCTCTAGTTTTCAAGGTTGATTATTTTCCAGCTAGGTCTTATTTTGGGGGAAACATGGTAAAGACTATATTGAAGAAGGAAGTGGATTTTGGTTGATTAGTGCAGGCAAAAGAATCAGTCCTATTTTGTCTAGGGTTTGAAAGGAGGAGGGCCACGTACACATGTGTTTTACTTTGTGTAAGGACTTTTCACAAGTTTTCTCATTTTTATAATGATTACATGTAGTTTTTAAAACCACTAACTTTTCAAATAAGCCATTTTTTTAAAAGTTTCTGAATGTTTACTGCTCAGTCTTAATCCATTTTAAGGATGTTATCTGAATTTGGCTTTGATAAATTTCTCCACTGAAATTGAAACATTTTCCTTCTGTTGGTGGAGGTTTCATTCCTGAAGTTTAAGTAATACCATTTTTTATGGTTTCCTAAGTGGCTTATCCCCTCACTTTCCTTTTCTTTTAAAATTATACACCTTTCTCAATAAATCATAGTGAAACATCTTTTTACTTTGAAGAAGGTACAGGCTCTTTTGAGGGGCTGCAAAATGTCCTATGTTAAGCAAGAGAGTGATTGTGCTGGGCACCAAATCAGAGCTTTCTAATTTTAAGTCTGTTAGTTTTCTTAGGATACTGAACAAAGAACCACAGTGGAGTGGCTTAAAGCAACAAAAATATGTTCTCTCACAATTCTGAAATGAAGGTGTTAGTTGGCGATGCTCCCACTGAAGACCCTAGGGGAGAACCTTAACCCTTACTTTCTCTTAGGCTCTTTCTGGTGCTTACTTGTCCATTCTTGGTGTTGCTTTTAGAGGCTTCATCATTTCAGTCTCTACCTCCATTGTCCCAGATGGTTCTGTGTGTGAGTGTATCTGTGTCTCAAAGTCTTGCCCTCTGTAGAAATTCACAGTTCAACCTACAGCAAAGTTTAATGCTCTTTATACTAATTGGATAGCTGATTCATGTGGAGTTGGCTTTCTGCAAAATTAAGAGAAATAAACTGTAAGTGAATGTTCACCCTTCTGTTTGAAATAATTAGTGCTTCCAAACTCCAGGGGCCAGTCAGGTGTTCCCATGGTATAAGTCGGAGTAAACATGGCACTGAGTAGCTTTGCTTTGTTTTAGCTGAGGCTGGTGGTATTTACAGTTACTAATGGAATTGTCTGTTTTGATCTGGGGTAGAGCTAGGAGCATTTGTGGAGAATAATCACAAAGAGCAAAGGTCTTACCATCGTGTACTACCATCATACAGTCTGCATGATCATACTTATTATTCTACCAAAATAAAGCCACATCTTACGTAAGACCTGAATTGTGAATATCCCAAGGCTCTGTTGTATTTTGAGTTGCAATAGTTATACTATAGTTTCCTTCATGTAGAGTACATATTCTTACTGGTTTTGTCCACAGTGGCTTTTATTCTCCAAAATGGCTTGTCTATAATCCTGTTTTTGAGAAGGATTGTTGATTATGTTGAAGAGAGGATTTCTGAGGTTTTTCAGACTTATCTCTCAATGTTTATCTCTTTGGGGTTCTGCAGGTGACAGAGCTGAATGAACCTCTTTCCAATGAAGATCGAAATCTCCTCTCTGTGGCCTACAAGAATGTGGTTGGTGCCAGGCGATCCTCCTGGAGGGTCATTAGCAGTATTGAGCAGAAAACCATGGCTGATGGAAATGAAAAGAAATTGGAGAAAGTTAAAGCTTACCGGGAGAAGATTGAAAAGGAGCTGGAGACAGTTTGCAATGATGTCCTGGCTCTGCTCGACAAGTTCCTCATCAAGAACTGCAATGATTTCCAGTATGAAAGCAAGGTGTTCTATCTGAAAATGAAAGGTGATTACTACCGCTACTTAGCAGAAGTAGCTTCTGGAGAGAAGAAAAATAGTGTGGTTGAAGCATCTGAGGCAGCCTACAAGGAAGCTTTTGAAATCAGTAAAGAGCACATGCAGCCAACACATCCCATCCGGCTGGGCCTGGCCCTCAATTTCTCTGTGTTCTACTATGAGATCCAGAATGCACCTGAGCAGGCTTGCCTGTTAGCCAAACAAGCCTTTGATGATGCCATAGCTGAGCTGGACACATTAAATGAGGATTCCTATAAGGACTCCACACTCATCATGCAGTTGCTGCGAGACAACCTTACCCTCTGGACAAGTGACCAGCAGGATGAAGAAGCAGGAGAAGGCAATTGAAGATCTTTTGGGTCCCCAGCCCATCCTTCACCCTCCACCCCCATCATCACCAATTCTTCCTTGCCACAATCACTAAATATCTAGTGCTAAACCTATCTGTATCGGCAGCACAGCTATTCAGATCTGCTCTCCTGTCCCTTGGGAAGCAGTTTCAGATAAACATTTATGGGCATTGCTGGACTGGTGGTTACTTTGAGCCCACAAAAGCTCCCTTTCTGAATTGTGCAGAGAAGTGTGTTCTAAATGAAGCATTTTGCTATACCTATTGATCTATGGCAAATCCAGGTGAAAGTAATTGGGGAGTTTAGAAAGAGCCACATAGGCTATGGTTGATATTTAAAACAAGCTGATAGTGTTTTGTTAAGCAGTACATCTTGTGCATGCAAAAATGAATTCAACCCTCCCACCTGTTTCTTCAGCTAATGGAAAACTTAAGGGAAGCTGATACAGGAAGACAACTTGTTCCTTTCCATCAGTTTTATAATAAACTGTTTAATGTGAGGTTTCAGTAGCACCTTGTGTTGCCTCTTAAATTATGACGTGCACAGATCTTTTCAATGCAATGCATCTAAAGTTTTGATACGTACAATTTTTTTTGGTTGCGGTTGTTTAAGAATCATGGATTTTATTTTATTTTTTTTTTGTAGCTCTTTGGCTATTGTCCTTGTGTATCCTGACAGCACCATGTGTGTCAGCCCATGTCAATTAAAATGGGTGATTATGAAATGCCAGACTTCTAAAATAAATGTTTTGGAATTCAAAGGGTAAATAAATGCTGCTTTGGGGATATTATTTCTGTGTATGGCCTTGTTTTTTCCTCACAAGGAACTATTTGGTCACCATTTTGAATCCTGGTTAGAGTCTCTGGAAAGTAAAGCATTGGTTCCATGATATCCAGGATTTCCTGCCCTCTGATCAGCATACATTTACCAGATGGTGGGTTTTAGTTTTCTGTGAACCCAATTACCATAGCCTCTCTTACCTACTTTTCTTGATAACATCCTTTTTTAAAATTTTTTATTTGATAACTAATCTTATAAAAGCAAAATGTCCTTCACAGAATGGAACCTGTGAAAGGTGGTCTGTGTATAATGTGGGACAGTGGTATTTAGTCCGCTCTGTCCTTAACTGTTCCTAATTGCATATAATAAAATGTTAATTAGCGGCAAACCTGGGTTCCTGAAATAAGTTTTAGTGATTATTAAGAAATTTTAAAGTATTTTTTGTGTTGTTGTTTTTTGATCAGACTCATGACCTCGTGCTTAAAGGAACAAACATACCTCAGTTTGACTTAAAACAAAAAATCTTGGGGGCTGGGGATTTAGCTCAGCGGCATAAGCGCCTGCCTTGCAAGCAGGCATTCGTGAGTTCGATCCCTGGTACCGATAAAAACGGAAAAAACAAAACAAAACAACAACAAAAAAAAAACAAAACCTTTTTAAACGTTCTCCCAGCTTGCTTTGTGTCCCCAGTGTCCCTTGAAGCCCCCTGCCTTATCATTTGAACCTCAAGTGATAGTTCCTGGTGTCACAATTTTATCCATTGTACCTAGGTGTTCCAGTGGATTGGTTCAGTTGCATAGAGGTCTTAAACACTATTCTTGGCACCAGGTTGGTGACAGTTGCTACAACTCAGGCTCTGCCTTTGAATTTGTATCATGGAGCACAGAACTCCGAGGAATGGAGGAGATTTAACCTACCATTTAAATTGGGAAATAGAACTATGACTGCCAGATGCTAATAAATGCTTTCTGAATCATTTCAAATTGACGCAATTATAAGCTAAAATGGTTCACGAATTTCACTTTGGTAGATCAGGTATCTTTACACTGTGAACACAACTACCATAGCCCTTATGTAGTTAAGACATTTGGCTTTGATAAATGAGTAGACCAGAATTACTCTTAGGTTTCAAATATCCTTCACAATTGCCAAAGTACTCACTTTGAGTTCACAGCCATCATAATAGCTAAATCTTGGACGTGGTGTGTATGTTTACCAGTAGATGAGTGGATAAAAAATTTTTGTACACCATTGACTACTACCGTGCCCATATAGAAGGATAAACAGTCATTTGTAGGAAAATGGATGCACCTTGAGATCATAATGTTAAGTAAGTCAGACACCAGGTTTAATACTGTGCATTTTCTCTTATATGAGAAACCCCAAATATAAAGAGCAAAATAGAAGATAATAGGAAATAGGGAGATCTTTTGCAAAAAAGACCAAGAGATGGAGGGAGGAGGAAGGGGATGAAGAAAGCATTACAGTATTACAAATGTACCAGTTTCCCACAAGGAATGTAATCTTGTATTGCAAATGTACTTAAAAAAGGATGCTTTGTCCCCACTTTACAGATGAGGAAGTTTAGGTACAAGTTTGTGGACTTAACAGCTGGTAAGCTACAGAGAACAGCCTTCCTCATGGCTAGTATTCTAACTGTCCTCAGGTGGGCCCCAGCACAGCCATGCTGCTAAGGGCTGGGATCTGGCAAATCATGCTGCTTTAGCTCAGGTCTCATTTGTCAAGTGTGGAATTTCGATTATTTTTTAACTCCCAGTACTCAGCATAAATAAGGCATCTTCTTTGGGAATGGAGCTTGGGGAAATAGGAAGATACATACTTAGCTCTCTCGATGAGTGGAGTTCCTTGAGAGGACCTAAAAGGGAAGTATACATTGGTATAAACCTGGAAGGTTTTCTATGGCATAGAAAAAGTTTCCTTCCAGGTTTGTTTGGTTTTGTTTTTGAGATAGGGTCTTATTATCAATTCAGGATAGCCTAGGCAACCCAGGTTATTCTTTAACTTGCAGCAATTTTCTGCCTCATCCTCCCTAGTGCTAAGAGTACAAGCATGCGCCATGATGCTCAGCTTGGTTTCCTTCCAGTTCTACACTTAGGATGTCTTAAAGTTCATCCTGTTGAGATAAGTTGATGAAAGAGTTAAGAAGGGGTCATTTCAGTGTTACGGCAGGGGAAACAAGTCCAAGGAAACCAGATAACTTTGAATAGCATTCGGAGTCCCTAAATCCTTATTCATGATACTTTACTAGGTGTTGTGCTCTTATTTGGGTTGAAACTAGAAAAACAGGATGTTGCACATCACATTCTGGGGACACTTGCAATGCTTGTGTGTGTGTGTGTGTGTGTGTGTGTGTGTGTGTGTGTGTGTGTGTGTGCAGGGCCTTGTGCATGCTAGGCATAGCACTGAATCACATCCCTAGCTTGTTTTCAGTGCTTTTAATGTTTTCAGTTAGAAATGAAATTATATTTGAAAAGGTAGGTTTAAATTGATGTTATCGCTTCAGATTTCTAGTAGCTCCTTAAATCTTGTTAACAATTTATGAACTTCCTGAAAAGTTGATTGACTCAAGGCCAGAATTTTTAAAAAGAAATGACTGAAAGGAGTCCTTTATTTCTCCATCCAAATTTACTGATGGCATGACTCTAACATCGATTGTAAACTGGTGGTATGATCTTGAGCAAATTCTGGCTTCCTAGTCACTGCTATAAAAATGAGATTCCTGCTTCTGGTGGTCTCTGGGAAGTTTTGCATCTCTGAGATTCTGTATTATTTTCAAGTGCTTAGGAGATGGTCCTTATCCTCTTCCTGGCCTTTTTTCCTGAATTTCTCCTCCCCTTCCCTCTTCCTTCCGTTCTTTACATATGTCCTTTCTGCATCTGCCCTCCACCCTCCTTACTTTCCTGGCCACCCCCCTGTACCACTGAGATGATTTACCATGGGAATATTCTCCTGGAAGTGACATCACTCATATCCTTAGCAACTGTTACCAGGACAATGACATCATTTGATCACTATAGCAACCCTCCAGGAAGACACTTCTGCTGTGAAATGAGTAAACAGAATTTTTATACATTTCTGTGGTTTAAGGGCAAAAAAGGGAAAAAAATGTGTCAGGAACAAGAAAAAACATTAGCCTTTTTTGGGAAAAAGTGGGAACAAGTGAGGGGCTGAAAAAGAGCAGAATCTTTGAGGCAAACACTTTCTCCTTTCCAGTAGGTGGGGTGATTGTATAACATGTCAGCGAATTGGGTTACATCAGCAAGAACAGGGGCACCATTATTATGTGGAGATGACAAGCAAACCAGGGCATATGGCCCCTGCCCATAATTAGTCAGATGCCTGGCTTAATTGCCTCACTCATGGCTCATCTAACAAGTATTCTGTTCTTCCTGTGTGTAGGTATAAGGGATACCAGGGTGGGTAATACCACCCCTGACCTCTGTTCTAATGGAGCTTAGAGTCATTTGTGTATGGTGGGATGAGGGTAGTTGCAGAGTGACCCAAATGTATGCCGTGGAATGGATTGAGTATAGTTTCCCAAAGGAAGATACCCAGCATCAGGGGCATGTCTAACAAAAGGTACCAGAAACATCTTGGGCAGGAGGGCCCAGAAGCTTTCCCTATGGAGGGCAGTTAACTAAGGAGTAGTGTTGAGTGGGGAGACCTTGTCAGAAGAAACGGTATGTGCAGAGGGAGCATGCACAGTATCAAGAATAGAAGAGAAGGTGGGGAGGCCGAGTAGAGAACAGGAGGGAGTGGAATTCAAGATGAAGGTTTAGGGAACAGGACAGCTGGGCCAAGTCTTAACAGGCTTGGAGGCTAAAGTTTTGGCCTCCATATTTCCCAGCACTGAGATGCTCTGTGGATGGGTTTTAAGTAGTAGAGATAGGATCCTATTTGCACTGCCAAAATCTTACCTTGGCTGCCATGTGGTACAGTAGTTTATCAAGGAGGAAGTATGGCTGGTGGCTGTGAGAAAAGGGACAGAGTGGATATATTTAGGTGGCAGAGCTGACAGGATTTGCTGAAGGACTGTTACAAGGAAAGACTTGGGCTGATACCCAAGTGACTTGGGGTGGGAGAGTGACAGTTATTCTCAGATGAGGGAGGAGAGGAAGACCTGCCTGGGGTAACGTTTAAGAAGGCTCACATTCTCAGGGTCAGCCATGAAAGAAAGTGCCCCTCCAAATGTTGTGTGCTGGGAAAAGTAGGCTTTTGTTTGGGTCGTTTTGGGAGGAGATGGTGGGGTATGTGTAGCAATAATGGCAGTCTCTGCTGTTTGGAGCATGGGACCTTTGCTCTCACCAATTTGCACTGTCCTTTAAAGATAGAGCAAAGTGTGCCAGTGCATGCTAGCTCTTTCACTGTCCACACAAGCCGTGTGTGGATGTGTGTGTGTGTCTGTGTCCGTGTCCCCACTGGCCCATTTTGCAGATGAGGAAACCAAGGTCTAGATGGATTTCAAGAGCTTATTGAAGGCTCATAGCATGCAATTGGCAGCACTAGCTCTCACACTTAAGCTTATGACCCATGAGCCCAGGTTTCCCTGCAGATGATGTTTCCCTTGTCTCCCCAGCTTCCTAGTGATGAGAGAAGAGAACCTGAGTGTCAGTAAAGCTCTAAGCGCTCTTAGGTCACTCCTTGTTCTTCACCATCACCATAGTGGCTAAGGAGTAAGCAGTTTTAAGTTAAGAGACTTCTTAGCTTGGGAGAGTGTCACTTGGGAGAGAGCTCTTTCTCCCTACTGCTGTTTTCAGCTCATCTTGTATGTTGGAGCAGTTCTCTCCAGGAGGCAGGAAAGGTGGAAGGCTAAGAGCATGGTTGGTCTCTTGGCTTCCTTGTTTGTAAAGTGGGATGGTGACTGTGATAATTTCTGCCACATAGAGTTTTGTTTTTTTAAATGAGATGACTGAGATGAATAAAGGTTTCGGCATGGTATTCCAACATAGAATCTAGTTGATGAATATGAGTGATCGTTGAAATTAGGGC